GGGAAAATAATGATTCTTATAAAAAAAAATAACATGGAGGAAATCATAGAAAGAAGCAGAACATGAAAAATTCTAGCATTTTAAATTTCATTGTAAGAATTTTGTAATTTTTCCATGAATAAACATCATTTACGTCATATTTTTTTCACATGTTCTCTATCAAAAAATTCTGTACTCCATTCTTACAACTAGACTGCAATGTCTGTAACAACAAATCTCAGGATTAATCAAATGAGAATTATCTGTTCTTTATGCAAAAAAATAATAAGGTCAGTGAGTAAAACAGATACTCAAAATAAAAGTAAATTTTGAAATACAAACAAAGGTAGACGAAGCTGAACTCGGACAACTGTGGCGAAGTGAAATGCAAATTCATCACAATTAAACACCGTCTTATGTGGCTACCGAATGGCAGTAAAAAATTATATCTGGAATGCCACTAACAGCTGAGATAGGCGATAGACCAGTCTGGAGAACATTCTAAGAAAATCAAAACAAGTGATTCAGCGAAGAGACTCTTTTCAACGAATTTATCATCAAGCTGTACAGTCGTATATATATGGTTTATCAGAAGTTATATCCGGTGAGGGAATTGAATCTTAGGTGTGAATGCACAAAATAATAATAATAATCATATGAAGTTCAATTAAAACTAAAATGTTTGTGATTATAATCGTAGTTAAATGTCAAGTGGCAAAGCAGATTAATGTCATATATAGAATAATTCATAGGAGGGATAGAACTTGAAAAAGGATGTGCAATTATAGGATTAGTAGGCAAATCGAATAAAACAAAAACGTTACGTAATATTGTGTGAAATTTAATAGCATAGAATTTATCGTTGTAAAAAGAATTGATTTAGAATGACAAGTGGAACAAGTGAAATAATACCGGGGACAGTTCAAAGTGAGAATAGTAATAATAACAATTGACTTAATAAGGAAGAGTATACAAATTGAATAGACAAAATGAAAAATTGGTAGAGCTAAAATATGATTGGGGATTATCATATTTTAGCATAGAGGGATTAAGACCATGAAAGTTGGAGGGGTTGAACGAACTTTTTCTGTACACAGAGATCTGGCTTTTCTGTTTCGATAGCCAAAGCTTCAGCAATACAGATGAGTCGGGTACGTAGGGATTTAGGTAAATTGCTCTTTGCCTTGTAGATGACTTTAAAGGCGGAGGCTATAGAGATAGGGTGATCATTTTCGACCAGATGTTCTATGATCGCGCTTCTTATTGCTCCACTTCCACCTTTTCGTAGCCATGCAGGATAATGTTCTTGCACCCTCTTGGACAAAACTCGAGTCGAACGACCGATATACCTAGCTCCACAAGAGCAGGTGAATTGATAAACGCACATAGAGTTGGTCAACATTGGGATCTTGTCCTTCAGGTTATTGAACAATAATGGTCGGCTAGTAAAAGCTATTCTCAGAGAGGCAGCAGGGAATGTTCTTTTCAGGGACTGTGATATCCTTCGTTTCATGATATCGGAAGCTAAGTCCCCTTTGAATTCTAAGCTCATGTAAAGTATTTTCTTGGGAGCGGTTGATAAGTCACGTTTTGTAGGCTTTGAATGTATATTCTTATCTATAAAACGTGGTGGAAATCCATTTTCCATTAGGATTTTCCTCAAAGTGTATAACTCATCTTCCACAGTATCAGTGCTACAAATGCGCCGAATACGAGTGGCAAGCGACCGGACCAGGTTTCGTTTTCGACCAATAGGTACCCAGCTATAGAAATTTGTCAGTTGACCATTCCATAACAGCCTACGATAAATCGATCTCTTCAGAGTTCCATCGGTCCTTCTTGAACATTCTAAGAGCAAAATCTTCTCATGCATAACTTTTAATGAAGGATTTGTTGATTTCACTTTGTAAAAATCACCCGAAACGCCACAAACAAGAGTTAGGTTAGGAGTAATGAACATTAGTTAGTAAGGTATATTATTATTCCCATGGATTCAGAGTTAAAAACAAGGCTTCAGTAGAACATTCCCGTTTTATCCTGTTCTTTATAGTCCTTTCTAGCTAGCACCACAGCTACTCCTTGGTCTCTCATCTCCTCCCAACATGACCTCCTCCATGTCATGCTTGGACACATGCCCAGCTATTCATTTTTAATTCGGATTGCACTCGAGGGCCTAGCTCATGGTGGTATCCTACAGTCTCTTCAGCGTGTTTCCGATCCATATCCATTTTCTTCGGAATATCTGTTGGTCAATAGGTTCATGATCATTTCGTTCTCAGAGTTTCTTGTTGCTTATTTTTTTGTGACCAGCCTTCTGATCTACAGCGTAGAGCGAATGCAGCTTCTTTTGATGGCAGCCCTTAGTGGCCTTTTGGAAATGCTTTCGGTGACACGGCAAGTCTCAGAATCATACAGAGGCATTGACTGACTTAATATTGTTGTTAAAAATCCGGATCTTGTTCTTTATGTTGAGTGCAGAAGATTTCCACATTTATGTCAGAGTAATGATCGTCTTTCTTACCCTTTCAGCCCTGGCTGATTTAGACTCCTTCATGTATTCTGCCTACGACAGAAACGATGCTGCTGAGATCAGTGGAAGAGATAACCTCCTTCAGATTTTTTCCATTGATAACATTTGGTGCTTTTTTTCACTGTTGTTAGTTGGTTATCTACATCACCATAAGTCTTCTCTTTGTTCAACTGAAGTCCTGAATATATATATATATATATATATATATATATATATATATATATATATATATATATATATATATATATATATATATATATATATATATATATATATAACAACTTAATCATCGTTCCACAGCATTTTTTGCATCGATAACGAATGAGAAAGAAAAAGAAATACCAAACACCAAGATTTTAACTGAATTTTAGATTTTCCCGTAGACTGATTAAACCGAAATGCTCGGTCTCAGGTTGACATGTCAGCTTCTTGTGCAGATGCTTCGACAATGCCTGGGCATGTAATTACGAGTTAATTTGTGGATGATAAGTATAAGTGGAATCCAGGATGCGCATTTCGTCCTATTTGGGACTCGTCATCTGGATGTACCTGCATTCCCCAGTGAGTGATGATGCTCCCACCGAGGCTCGAATCCAATGCCCATAGTTTCCAATGCCAAAACGTTATCCAATAGACCACGTGAGTCACGGGAGCCACCTCCTGTGCACTTCGGTTCAATCAATCTACGGGCAAATGTAAAATTAAATTAAATTAATTTGACCCGTTGCACAAGAGGTGGCTCTCGTGGCCCAAGTGGTCTGGTGGATAACGCTCTGGTGTTGGAAACTATGGACATTGGGTTCAAGCCTCGATGGGAACATCATCATTCACTGGACAATGAAGGTACATCCAGTTGACGAGTTCCAAATACGACGAAATACGCATCCTGGATTCCACTGCTAGTCATTATCCACCAAATAACTTCCAATTACCGAGACTCTCGAGCCAAAGAATTTCATCAACAAAATCAACAATGACATTAAGTATGGTCGAAGAAGTATTCCGAAGATTTGGGTGGACCTCAACAATTGTCATTCCATATAGACCAGAGATGTCAGACAATAGATATCAAAAGAGTACTTAGCACAAGCACAACATCAAAGTTTTATTGAAAACATCAAACACGCACGCACCCTGCAAAGGGACCTTGTCCATATAAAAGACCAAATACCTAAGGATTCTCTATTTAATTGTGTCTACATAATAAAATGCTTGCATTGTGTTGAGATATGCATGCGACAAACATCGATAGAGGTAAATCAAGGTAATCAGAAAAAATGAACGCCATAAAGCGTCTGTTCGACCATCGTGAAATTAATCCAGTTGAACTACACGCTACGCTATAGAATCAGGCCACAAAATTGAATTTTACAGTATACTGAAATCATCATCCAGAAAAATTTGAGAAATCACAAAGAATGTCTAATATCGGTTACAGGATTTCATCATCAGCCGACATTGGTTAGAGAACCATTGGAAAACCAGCTGGGAGTACTGGACAGCTGTTTTCGCCGTCCTAGTGCTTGAGACTCTTCATCAATACGCACCCACCGCCAGGTTTCAAACCCGGGACCCTCTGGTTACAAGGCTAGCGAGCTCTTAGATCATTAGGCCACTGTGACCCGATCTAATGACACATGAATTACAACTTCTGCCAATTCATGACATAGCGCATCCGCTAGCCAATGTCTTCGGCGAGTATTTGTCCTTACACCCAAACCCTGGTGGGTGCGTACTGCTGAAGAGTCCCAAACTAGTTTTGTTATCTTTACCAGTTGGCCAACTTGACACGACAAAAATTACCTCATGCTAATGAACGATGATTAAGTTGTTATATACATATAAACTGAGTGGATTTTGTAAATTCCTCTGGTTAAATATTACTCCTTTGATGATAAAGCTTATTAGCAGGAGCATTAAATAACGAAACATCAGTAGTAACGACAACAAATCTTTTTTTTTGTTTTCCATTCATTCATTCGTTGCTAAAAATACAAAAGCCATTTATTATAATGAGTATATCAGTTATGGTAGTCATATAAAGTGCTCCATAAATGTTATATACGCCGTCACAGATGATATTGACTCACTCATTCATAATTTTGATTTGATTACTCCTAGCTAGTGCGGTGACAGCAGGCTGCTGACCGAGTGGTAGACCTTATTAATTTACGTCAATGTCTAGGTCACTAATATTGGCCGTGAGAAAATATGAACAAGGCTGATTCAACAACCAATCACAGCAGACTTAACGTGAGCAAATAAGATTCGCAGATATATGGCCTCACTTTCCGAGAAGCCAGAAACAACTAATCACAAGACTGTGTTCGCCTGACTGAATAAGCTATAATAATGTACATGAAATATATATGTATATATAAATACGTGCTGATTTCCTTTATAAACACGATCTGTTGCCTGGCCCTTGTCTTCTGTTGTTGCACTAACTAGTAGTTGTATCTTGACGCTGCAGACACAAGAATAACGTTTAAGAACAGAGTATATAATATTATATTTTTAACAGGCTTATTTAAATGAGAACAAAGATAAAAGATGGAATAGGTAAAAAGGCTAGATAAAATGTGTCTGCAATTTTCATATTTCTGTCTAAAAAAAATCGATTATCTTCCAGTCTAAAAGAAATTTCAAAGGTTAATCGCTAAAGTTATTATTATTATTATTAGTCGTAGTAAAAGTCTGTTAATATGTAAATAACTTCTTTTTTTTCTAACGAAGTCTAAGAAGGTTCAAGAAAGTTTACCCTGGAATATTTTCTTTGTTTTCTATTGTACCTGTGAGATAAACAACAATTACTGGAGAATATACAAAATCATGATCGTGGATGGTTGAATATATAACTAAGCAAAAACAAAATTATACAACACTCCTGCTGTTACGATTGTTTGTCAACGTTCCCCTCCTCCCTTTTCCCTTCCTTCTCCAGCCCCGCTTCCCGATTTATTGCTGTAACTGAGAGCAAAGCAATACAACAAGAAAATAATGAGATTTAATTTATTTTCAAACAGTGTGACTGACTGTATATATGCATGAATTAGACAGACAGTAGGATAATTTTACATTCAAATTTTTAAAACAATTAATCCCTTTGATAAATTTGAATAAGGCATTTAGAAGACAAATTTCGCGAGATGATATCGTCACTTCGTAGTTTCTTTACAACCAACCGCTTTACAACTAACATGGTTAACAATAATAAAATAAAGTTCATGACAATTACTCAGTTAAATAAAAAAAACAACAAAAGTACATACTATGCTAATGACCAGTCATATTTAGATAGGTCATGTGGTCAGTCCACGGTAGGCGAAGATTGAAGTCTATCGTGTTCTCTTTGTACACACAGTTTAGGCTGTATGTGATTAATCGACGAAGAGTGCTTCCTTCCATCACCTTCAATAACCAACCTTGAATTAGAGTTATGTGGTAAAATAATGGTGAAAGAGTTATTAATATTGATTGATTTTGTGACCTGACATCAATAAGTGTTTTGCAATGGATGATGATGCTGGATTTCTATTCAGATTAACAATTGCATTGGGATTTTCTGTATGATTTAGTAGCCATTTCGGAACATGTTCTTTTCGACGACCACATTTGAAACATTCTATTGGTCCTACACCTATATAAGTGTCACCGCTGCTGCAGGTGAACTTGAAGATACATTCTGAAGTAGAGTCCACAGAATTTCGTTCTCTAATCGAAGGTACAGGGATGGAAAATGTTCGGCAAGTGAGAACTAAATCATATAGAAATCCAGCATCATTATCCATTGAAAAACATTTATTAATGTCAGATCACAAAATCAATCAATATTATTTTTTTTTGATTTACAGCTTGATTCCACACCGTATTTTTGGTACAAGTATGGAATTTTCAGCGTAGATATCGGTAGCCCAAATTTTGCTGGCTGACCATAGATATCAGGTGTGCGTCGGCAGGGGGTCGAACCCCGAACCATGTGCATGGTCGGCGAGAGTCCTAACCACTGTGCCACCGACGCTCACAATTATTTCATCACATAACTCTAATTCAAGGTTGGTTATTGAAGGTGATGGAAGGAAGCACTCTTCGTCGATTAATCACATACAGCCTAAACTGTGTGTACAAAGAGAACACAATAGACTTCAATCTTCGCCTACCGTGGACTGACCACATGACCTATCTAAATATGACTGGTCATTAGCATAGTATGTACTTTTGTTGTTTTTTTTATTTAACTGAGTAATTGTCATGAACTTTATTTTATTATTGTTAACCATGTTAGTTGTAAAGCGGTTGGTTGTAAAGAAACTACGAAGTGACGATATCATCTCGCGAAATTTGTCTTCTAAATGCCTTATTCAAATTTATCAAAGGGACTAATTGTTTTAATTATAAAGAAGAGAAAAGATCCCTCTGCAGTTATACCTTAGAACACCTGAATGACTCTGGAAAGTAGGCTAACTCACAAACCAAATTGAAAATAACGCAGAGATAACATGGAAATCTTTCTAAAAGAATACGAATTCGACTTCGTTAAACCACAGATGCCGTGAAAATTCCCATGTTAACAGTGACGAACTCTGCGGACGGAAGAAGTTTGTTCAGTCACTAAATTTATGAGGGACCTTGTCTGTCTTAACACTGGATACATGATTCTTTTTTTGATTGTGTTATTTTTTCTCTACCCCGCCCCTCCGCCCTCATAATACATTTCTTCTCCTTATCCTCTCGGTGTTCTTAACTTGACTGTCGTTCAACTTTAGCTGAGTTCTACTCAATCCCATCGATTCGATTGTCGTCCAATTTATTTCTTTAATTTTATTTCAGTTCCTAGTGGATTAACGCCTTCTTTATTACAAAATTTGTTATCTATAAAAAGCCAACAATTCTTTTGGAAATATTTCTTTTGTTGCGTAGATAATTCGCTACATATATAAATAAATATACGACTGTACAGTTTGAGAATGACATCGATGAAAAGAGGAGTAAAGTCTTCGCTGAACGGACAACTTTCGTCTCCATTCTTAGCTTCAGATGAATCAATCAATCAATCACTTCGTGTTATTCTAAACATCAATGAATAAGGGAAACCTGCTATTGGCTCAGTTTATCAACATGTGGAGTCTTCAGCAGCTTAGAATAATTAGTAACAGATCAACACAGTATTAGTCGGATGGACAGATGACAGTTACTGATGCGCTATAGTAGGAAAATGGAAATGTTGCTTAGACTAGACACTTGCACTTGAACATGAGCTGAATAACCAAGCCATACTAGACAGAGTGGGTTTGGAACTGGTCATCATCAGGTAGTTGGAAATCACGCGTCTATGTCGACTCTACGCGCACGAATCACAATAATTCAATGTGAACACGATAAGTGGGAATCCTGATATATGCACAAATACAAATATTCTAAGGAGGGAAATAATTCATCTGATAACTGGTCAGAGAGAATAAATACACGTATTGGAAGGTTGGGACGTTGAGTTTCTTATATCTAATGAAACAAGTGCGATAATACAGTGATGTAATAAACTGGTCTTTACTGAGACGCAGTGTGAAGAGTTATCACGAAATAATAAGACAATCTACAGCATTCATTCCACTTGCCTACTATTTGTATTTTACATTTTATTCCTTTGCGTTCCCAGTGGGACATACAACTTCAAGCTTCCGCTTGCGTAATAAGGTATAGTCTTTCTTCATTAGCCAGCCCAAGAAAAACTAAGGGGGAACAATAGAGAATAATAGGCAGAATACGGGAGTTAACGAATTGTAGGAGTAAGGGTTGGGTCGGGTTATTCCAGAATGTCTTAATTTCTTGATGTAGAAGGTAAGGGGGGAATATTTTCTTAGAAATATTTATTTTTTATTTTTATTTTTGATTACAGCTTGATTCCACACCGTATTTTTGGTACAAGTATGGAATTTTCAGCGTGAATATCGGTAGCCCAAATTTTGCTGGCTGACCATAGATATCAGGTGTTCTTCGGCGTGGGCTCGAACCCTGGACCATGTGCATGGTCGGCGAGAGTCCTAACCACTGTGCCACCGACGCACAATATTCCGTCTTACGCTTAAAAAAATATAATGGGATAAAAATCAGTGTCATTGTTCATCAACCAAAAAAGTAGAGAAAAAACAACCCACTAATAATAATAACAATAATAATAATATAAGGTGGCTTTAAATATCAAAATTAATAATTATGAGGAGTTTCATTTAACGGAAATTTCCAGTCATGTGACGCCATCTGCGTAGACGTATCTTTGCCTAGCAGGTGCACGTAACACATAAAGATGTACGCACACACACACACACACGCATACACCCTTTTAGTGAACAAAAGCCTCACATTGAATATGATAAATATACGAAGTATTCCACTAAAAGATAAAGACACTATGAGGGGAAATTTCGAGTGAGCAACTCGGTGATGAATATAAATATAGTTGTTCTTTTTTTATTTTATAAAAAAAACATACGATAAATAGTGTAATATGCCTAACCTGAAAAATGATTGACCGGATTGACCGGAATAAAATAATAAATGGTATGGTATGCTTGGAACCTCAATAAAACCTTTTGCATAGAGAGAGAAAGAGAATTTTTTCTTGTTGTTGTTGTTGCTGTTGTAAAAAACCCTCAAGCAACCGAGGCAGTCAGTATTTATTAAATGGCCGTTTGCTAATTGGGCAGGTGTGAAATAGTGAATAAAGCGCTTTTTTATGCGTCTGAACACAAACGAACTCATAGAATCTGATGCTTGCTAATGACAACTGCCCAATGGGATAAAGTTGCCTGTAGAAAGTGCTAGTGAGACGGTGTGACCAGTAAGGACAACCAGGTCGACAGGTTAAAAATAAACACCAACCGATGACATTAGCTGGTGTGTGTCACGATTTGTTAGCGGTTGGAATTCACTCCCCGGTCAGTGAATTGTGTCGCACAAGGCTGAATGGTCTGCAGGCTTTTATTGTAACCCCCAGTGGGTGTGTACAGACTGTTGAAGAGCCCCAAACTAGGTCGAAACAGTATTCAATATTGGAAATAAAAACTGTCTAATATTCTACTGGAGAAGCTTAGAGTAGTATTAGCCAACATCCCCTATGAATTCATAAATTCGCCAAAGGCTAGCCACGCATACCATAAAAGACTTATTTCATTTTGCTGAAAGCGTGAATCACATGAACGTTTCAAATAAGTTCATGGCTTCATTTGATGCAACCTCCTTGTTCACAGTGATCCCAATCAATGAAACCATTGAGATCATTTGTCAACAGTCTGATCTTCTCCCACTACCAGAGCCAGAATTCAAACGTCTACAGCTAATGTGTACCATGGGTGTACAATTCCAGTTTGGCAATACCCTTTACCGACAAATAGATGGTGTAGCTATGGGCAGTCCACAACGAAAGTCATGCCTCCTACCTACTCAGACTATTCAACAACTCACATACAAATATTGTATTTACTATGGGACATGAAAATGATGGACAGTTCCATTTCCTTGACGTCGCCATGTAACGCCTAGAAGACGGTAGTCTCCAGAGGTCAATCTACCGAAAGCCCACATGGAATGGACAATACTTACATTTTAGTAGTTTTTGTCCGAATAGCTATAAACGAGTACCAGTCAAGACTCTGTACTATTGAGCGAGTAGAATATGCTCTGCAGAGAAACTAGAGGAAGAATTTACGAATCTCGAAAAGGTGCTGAAAAACAACGGCTATCCTCAAAGATTCATTAACGAATATGGAAGATGTGAAGGCTGAAATACCAAACAAATCATAGTTGGAAAAAAGCCTGTCTTCATTCAACTAGATTTTAAAGGCAAAAACATCGTAGAAATGGTCAACAGAAGACTGAGAACGTCACTAGCCAGAGCCTATCCTGCAGCTAAGTTGGTTCCCGCCCATCGAAGAACATGCTCTTTGGTGCAGTCAAAAGTCGACGGATACTCT